TCTTTATTACTTTCCATCATCCTTCTTCCTATCTTCTGAATCTCCCCTTCCTTCCTGCATTATTCTGTCTTCCCTCTTCCCCACATGCATTCGTTTTTTTCTATAAACCGCAATTACTCCACTCCCGCCCCACCACCACCTGTCCCGCCATTCTTTCACCCACCCAACCCACCCATTCCAGAACACCCACACAAAACCGTATTCCCCAAACACCAAACTCTTTTCACCCAAACGCTCTTTCTTTCAACCAGCACTAACCCACTTATCCTTATAACACCCACCGAATCATTTACTAACCCTCAATCCACTCATCTTCCTACTTATTCACTTTCTCACCCGACTAGTCACTCATCCAACTACCAACCTATTCATTCGTCCACCGACCCACTTACTCTCCAACTGACCCACTCATTCATCCGCCCACTCATCACTCACCGCCTCAACCCACTCATTCAACCGATCACTCACCTAACAGCCCACTCATTCACCCACTCACTCACTCATCTGCGAGCCACTCATTCACTCACTTCTCTCATTCACCCACTCACTCACTCATCTGCGAGCCACTCATTCACCCACCGCCCCCACTCATTCACCCACTCACTCACTCATCTGCAACTCCGCCCACCAACTCATCTGCAGCCCACCGACCCACTCATTCCCTGGCCCACTCATTCACCCACTCACTCACTCATCTGCGAGCCACTCATTCACCCACCGACCCACTCACTTAACAGCCCACTCATTCACCCACTCACTCACTCATCTGCGAGCCACTCATTCACCCACCGACCCACTCAAACAGCCCACTCATTCACCCACTCACTCACTCATCTGCGAGCCACTCATTCACCCACCGACCCACTCACTCAGCCCACTCATTCACCCACTCACTCACTCATCTGCGAGCCACTCACCTAACCCAGCCCACTCACTCACTCATCTGCGAGCCACTCATTCACCCACCGACCCACTCATTCATCCATGAACCCACTCACCTAACAGCCCACTCATTCAACCACTCACTCACTCATCTGCGACCCACCGCTCACCCTCACTCATCACCCACCGACCCACTCACCTACAACCCACTCATTCACCACTCACTCACTCATCTGCGAGCCACTCATTCACCCACCGACCCACTCACCTAACAGCCCACTCAGCATCTGCGAGCGACCCACTCACCTAACAGCCCACTCAGTCACCCACTCACCGCTCAAGCCACTCATTCACCCACCGACCCACTCACCAAACCCCACTCAGTCACCCACTCACTCACTCATCTGCGAGCCACTCATTCACCACCGACCCACCTCACCTAACAGCCCACTCAGTCACCCACTCACTCACTCATCTGCGAGCCACTCATTCACCCACCGACCCACTCACCTAACAGCCCACTCAGTCACCCACTCACTCACTCATCTGCGAGCCACTCATTCACCCACCGACCCACTCACCTAACAGCCCACTCATCACCCACTCACTCCATCTGCGAGCCATCACCACCGACCTCACCTAACAGCCCACTCAGTCACCACTCACTCATTCATCTGCGAGCCACTCATCACCGACCCACTCACCTGCCCACTCATCACCCACCGACCCACTCACCTAACAGCCCCACTCAGTCACCCACCTCACTCACTCATCTGCGAGCCACTCATTCACCCACCGACCCACTCACCTAACAGCCCACTCATTCACCCACTCACTCACTCATCTGCGAGCCACTCATTCACCCACCGACCCACTCACCTAACAGCCCACTCAGTCACCCACTCACCACTCATCTGCGAGCCACTCATTCAGCCCCCACCGACCCACTCACCTAACAGCCCACTCAGTCACCCACTCACTCACTCATCTCGAGCCCACTCATTCACACACCGACCCACTCCTTCACCCACCGACCCACTCATTCATCCATGAACCCACTCACCTAACAGCCCACTCATTCACCCACTCACTCACTCATCTGCGAGCCACTCATTCACCCACCGACCCACTCACCTAACAGCCCACTCATTCACCCACCGACCCACTCACCTAACAGCCCACTCATTCACCCACCTGACCCACTCTCTAACAGCCCACTCATTCACCACCGACCCACTCACTAACAGCCCACTCAGTCACCCACTCACCCACTCATCTGCGAGCCACTCATTCACCCACCGACCCACTCACCTAACAGCCCACTCATTCACCCACTCACTCACTCATCTCACACTCATTCGCCCACCGACCCACTCCTTCGCCCACCGACCCTCTCATTCATCCATCAACCCACTCATTCATCCATCAACCCACACGCCCTTTACCTTATGCATATTAGCGACGTTCTCCAAGCCAAAGAGATTCCGCGAATACATAGCCTCGTGGGCGCTTTCCACCTCGTATGGATAAGACCGACATTGTCCAAGCCCAACGACGCCCATTCACGTGCCCGTGTCGTGCTCCACGTGCTGCCCGGGCTCAGACCAGAGTCGCTCACGATCAAGACGAGACACCTTGCTCAGACCCGTGGTCGCGGAGTTGTGACGTCATGGAAGACCGTGCTCAGAAATGGAACGAGTTGTGACGTCATAGGACACCTTGCTCAGACCTGGAACGATGTTCTGTAAAAGACCGTTCGAGTGGACGTTGGAGTCACCTGTGACGACGAGACCCTTGCTCTGGAATGAGTTGTGACGTTCTTGAAAGACCTTGCTCAGACTGAATGAATTGTGACTCATAAAAGACCTTGCTCAGACCTGGAACGAGTTGTACGTCATGAAAGACCTTGCTCAGACCTGGAACGATTGTGACGTCATAAAAGACCTTGAAGACGTCATGAAAGTCCTTGCTCAGACCTGGAACGAGTTGTGACGTCATGAAAGACCTTGCTCAGACTCTGACGTCATGAAAGACCTTGCTCAGACCTGGAACGAGTTGTGACGTCTTAGAAGACATTGCTCAAAATTGGAACTTGTGACTTCATAGAAGACCTTGCTCAGACCTGAAACGAGTTGTGACGTCATGAAAGGAGTGACCCGAGTGTGTGCATATGGAAAGCAGAAATTGCAAGTGGAGGGTTAAAGGATATCTTTTTTTTTGGTGGATGACAGTTCTATAATTTGGAAATTGTGTTGTCCCCGTAAGGTTTATGTTGTCAGTAAAAGATTTTATATCATCCATGTGAGATTTATACTCTCTAAATTATTTTGATATATGGTGTATATATGGTCCATAACACCAGTGACTTATTGTCGTTGTAAAATTTATGTTCTCTGTAGATTATGTTGATATATATCATGTATGTACGGTTCACGTCATCGCTAATCATATGCTTATATCATCTACGTAAGATTCATATAAGCGGTAAGTTTATATTTATATTTATTTATATGTGTTTAAATTTATATTTATTTATATTTATATTTATTTATGTTTATATCTATATTTATTTATATGTAAGTTTATATTTATATAGCTATATTGTCCACCTAAGATCTATATTAACGGTAAATCGTGTCGTCTATCCAAGTTTTATGTCACTGACGGTGAAAGAGTGATATGTTTTAAGTCATGAGGAGGAAATCATATTTTATCATCTATTCACGATATGATTTTGTCATTGTTATTATTAAACAACGAAATATATCGAAATCAAATATATGTTTTCATTAACTGACTCTATGATTTATAACCTCCAGTCCGCAATTTGACAAGATTAATAAACACATAACTGCAAATTGCATTTATAAATATACTTGTTAGTTCAGCTGTCTGTGTATAAAATGTAAGCGGACTAATAGTCGCAAATAATGGCATTGTCCTGATATTGACAGATAATATGATAAAAGGCATCATAGATCGATAAATGATAACAAAAAAGGTCAACAACAACGGAGGCAAAAAAGTAAGTAAAAAAGAAATAAAGGATGAACAAATGAATACTTACCGCTCAGTCTAAGAAACAAATACGCCAAAAAACAGCAACAGACGATAAGCAAGAAAGAAAATGTGAAAATGATTATAAACAAAGCTGATAACGAGAAAAAGCAAGCAAACAAATAAATAGATCAACATATAAAGAACATATAAACCAATGAATGAATAAATGAGTAAACGCATGAACAGACATATGATTAAACACTTGAATAAGTAAACAAACAACACCCTTGCACCCGAAGCCCAACCCAAGGGCGCCACAGCACAGCCCCGCCTCGCCTACCGGGGAAGTGGTTGGTGTTGGTCTCGTCCACGTTGGAGTAGGCCTGCATGTCGCCGCTCTTGAGACCCCAGCCCGTGCGGACGAGGACGAGGGTGTGGTCCGGGATCACCCCGTGCACCTTCTCCCAGGCTTCGAGGTCACCCACCGAGATAGGGTAGTCGATCTGGCCGGACCGCGCGATGGCCTGGGACACGTCGATGACCACAGCTGCGGCCGGGGAAAGGCGCTTGGGTTGAGTTGTGGGGTGTTTGGGGGGGTTGTTAGGGAGGGTTGCTGATAGTTTGGGATGGAGGGGTTAGTAGTATGGGTCGTTAACAGGAAGGGGGTGGAAGGTTGGTACTATTCTTCTTCTTCTTCTTCTTCTTTTTATTATTATTATTATCATAATTATTATTATTTTGGCGGGGGAGGGGGTTGTTAAGAATTGTTAAATTTTGCTAATGGGTGGAAGGATTGTTGGTAAGTTTTGAGGTATGAGTTATCAAGGGTTGTTAGCAGCAGTTGGTTGCTATCAACGGTGTGATATCTGGTATTTTGGCTTAATTACTTGCTAAAAAAAAAAATAATGCCTAATTGAGAATATCATAGTGGAAATGGGAAAAATATTTTTGCAGCTCACAGGTATATAACATACTCAGATTGTCTATCTCTTCAACTCAAGACACACTCTCTTCTATCTCCCTCCCCCTCTCTTCTTCTCTATCCCTCTCTTATCTCCCTCCCCTCTCTCATTCTCTCTCTATCTCCCTCCCCCTCTCTTCTTTTCTATCTTCTCTCCTCTCTCTCTCTTCTCCCCCCCTCTCTTTTCTTTCTATCTCCCTCCCCTCTCTCTTCTCTCTCGCTCTCTCCCTCCCCCCCCTCTTCATTTTTCTCCTCTCTCTCTCTCTCTCTCCCTCCCTCCCTCTCTATCTCCCTCCCCCTCTATCTCTCTCCCTCCCTCTCTCTCTATCTATCTCCCCCTCTCATTCTCTCTCTATCTCCCTCCTCTCTCTCTCTCTCCTCTCTCATTTTTCTCTCTCTATCTCCCTCCCTCTCTCATTCTCTCTCTCCCTCCCCTCCCTCTCTATCTATCTCCCTCTCCCTCTCTCATTCTCTCTCTGTCTCTGTTTGCCTGTCTGTCTCTCTTATTTTTTTCTCTCTCTTTATCTCCCTCCCCCTCTCTTCAATCTCCCCCCCTCTCATTCTCTCTCTCTCTCCCTCCCTCCCTCTCTATCTATCTATCTCCCTCCCCCCCATCTCATTCTCTCTCTCTCACTCTCCCTGCCTCCCTCTGTATCTATCTCCCTCCCCATCTCTCATTCTCTCTCTATCTCCCTCCCCCTCTCTCATTCTCTCGCTGGCTCTGTTTGTCTGTCTGTCTCTCTTATTTTTTCTCTCTCTTTATCTCTCTCCCCCTCTCTCATTCTCTCTCTCTTAATCTCTCTCCTCTCTCTCTCATCTCTCTCTCTCTCTCCCTCTCTATCTCTCTTTCAATCACCCTCCCATTCTCTCTCTCTTATCCTCTCTCATCATCTCTCTATCTCTCCCCCTCCCGCCTCCCTCCCTCTCTCACCGGGCACCCTCCACAGCCGGTCGAGGGGGATGTCGCTGACGCCCCACCGGTCCTTGGCGAAGTGCACGGGCGCGTCCAGGTGCGTCCCGGAGTGCTCGGACGCGCAGAACTCATTCAGCTCCACCCTGGACCACGAGGAGAAGGTCATTAGGTTATAGTTGCGATTACACCATACAAGCATTAAGAAACCGATGGTGTATGTTCAGGAATGAAATGACAAACTATAATTACGATTAAATCATACTATTATTAAGAAGCCAGTGGGGTAAGTTTATGAATAGAATGGCATAAACGATATTCGCTATTAAACCATAATAACATTAAGAAGCCGATGGTGTAAGAATATGAATAAAAAGACAAACAATAATTGTCATTAAATCATACTCTTTATTAAGAAGCCAATGGAGTAAGTTCATGAATAAAATGGCATGATCAATATTTACCATTAAACCACATTGAAAAGCAAATGGAGCAAGTTGACAAATAAAAGGATATAAACAATAGTGATGATAAAGAAAAGAAAATCTTGCCTTCCTCATGCACCTTCACGTTCGGAATCAGCGCAATGGGCGAGCGAGCAAATAGCCATTTGATTTTACTGTATTTGCGCAAGCTAATTGTCAGGGCGATGTAATACGTCCGGCCAAAGTTCATGTCCGGTAATGTTGTCTGGCATTTCTTTATCAGGAAAAAATATTGCAATTACCTCTAGCGCTTTCACCATTCGATATCACATCACTGGAACTCAAACACGCGCCGAAATACAACGAGACGCTTGCTTATCTTATCATTATCTAATACTATTGCCGTTTATCTCAATCCCACGAAACTGTTTTATAAAAGCTTCACATAATTCCCTCGTAAATAACAGGTGCTTGCCATCTTACCAGACACCGAAGTCGTTGTATCCTTTCTTGAGGACTTTATACGTGAAGGGCGTGAGTTTAGGAGACGTTGGGGCGTCGAGGTTGTAAGTGTAGGAGAGCTCGAGCAACGCCGAAGATCCCGCGTCTGCCATGATGATCACCAGCAGGGACACGAGGCGAGCGAGCGAGCCTAGGGTGAGAGGAAGAGATGACTCGTTTTAGAAGTCGTTTGAGAACATTGAGCAAAACGAGTTAATGGCCTGAAATGTGTGGAATATGAGTGTGCTGGCTATATGAGACGGGTTCTGAAAATAAGGTTTACGTTGTCCTATTTTTTAAAGAAATACGTATATGCTCTCTTATAGTAATTTGGTTAGTTTATTTTTAAAGATACCTCAGGGAAAATGGAGGTATCACAGTTCGTTATGCAAGTGCCATTGTTACTAGGTATTGGTTGAAAGACCAGCAAAACTCTCATATTTGTCAAGAACAATGAAGATAATCAGAATAACATCAACATTAGTTTAGGTGATGGTAATGGTAATGTAACAACGATGATGACAATAAAATCATCAACGAGAGTGACGGTGCTCGTTGTAACAGCAGTGTTAACAATGACAACAGTAAAATGATGATGGTGATGACGATAATTATGATTATGGTTATGATGATCCTGAACACCTATCGATAATGATGGCATGATATCTGATGAGGTTATATTCACATTCCAAGAAACGTTAAGTATGCATGAGTATCGCAGGCCACGCAGACACAGCTGGATGGGCTGCCCCGCCTTGCGTGACTTGGTCGACTGTCAATCATGTCTTTATCTGATCTGATGAGACACCTGTAATTGCCTC